TTTTTGAATTTTGAAATAAAGTTCACTTTTTAACAAAATCTCATTGAAAAAGAGAAACCCTCCAAAGAAGATTTACAGATTGAAAAAAAAAGCAGAATGATAATGATTTTCCTAAAATTTGAAAAAAGAAAATACTAACAATTAATTAATTGACTAAAGCATATTGCTATATATATGTTCCTATCTTTTTAAGAATTTTAAATAATTCAAGTTCAAAATGATTTCTTAATCCTCACATTAATACATGTATGATGTAGTCATATTAATAAGTGATAATCTAGTAATCATGCTAGATGTGGTGTAGTGCTGTTGAGACACACCAAGAACAGACATTTTTCACAAGTTAAAAAGGAACATGTTTATCTCCATGGCAACAATTTTCCCTGGAATTTTAGTGGTAATATATAGATGCTTTGTATGAGTGATTTTTATCACTGCAAGCACATGCTGCAAATATGTCTTGGAGAGGCAGTATGCCAAATTTGCTCCATTGTTGTTACGGCTCTTCCCTGGAGTTGAAAAGTTCCACTAAATGAAGGACCTGTGTGCAATACTTTTAATGTCTATATATGGATTTGTACACCGCTTCTAAAACAAATTTTGATGGGAAAAAATCTGGAATTTATGCTTCGTAATTTTTTTAAATATTTTTCTTTGAATAATGCAAAAATTTTCATAATTCCATATCTTCTAAAATCCCTGGTAATACATGCTGATTTTTTGTCTATGAACATCTGATGGCACTATAATCTTTTAAAAATCAAAAAATCTTGAAAAATTATCAGTAGGTAAGGTACCTTGCGTATGTCCTTAAAGTCACATACTAAAATAGGGGGAATGGTTGGGAATTTTAAGTCAAAAACAGACAACATTTACAAATGTCAGCAATAATAAAAGTAAGGGTACACCAAACACAACATGTAAACGGGATTTCATTCACATACATATATTACTATAAGACAATATTTTATAGTAGCATGCTAGAATTTTCTTTACAACATTTGTACGTACATTATCCAGGTCAGACTTCGTGGCAGGAAGTGGGTCGTGCCTCTCTTTCAATCCCTGAAGTTCTGCCTTCAGGTGCTCAATCTCCTTTGTCCTGTTAATTGTACAAAATCAAATCAAACTTGTAATATGTACTTCATTTTAAGAACAGCAACAAAAGAGAGCATTTCATCATAATAACAGTTTTGCTTTTGTTTGTTAAAATCAAAATATATTGATCGATCGACTTAAAGAATTTTTTTTTCATGATATTGATTCAATCAAGAATTTATAACATGACTACATCTATAGTTTACAAACATTCCATGATTCCAATGTAGGTAGTTACCAGATATCAGATTCTGTGCTATGTACATGTACATTTACTGTTTACACCTCAAATGCGGTTCATACTAATCATTAGACTCTGTACTACGTGTATAATTACAAGTACGTACCTAGCCTCAGACTCAGCAGTAAATCGACTGGTCATGTCCGTCTTCATAAGTGTCTGCTTCTCTTGTAGGGCATACAACTAAATTAAAAAAAAATTTCGTGATTTGAAATAAAAAATAGAGTTTTTTTTATTTTGTATCCACACTAAATCTCCACATTTCTAGCAATATAATATCTGTTCGAGGAAAAGTAAGTGAGAAAAGAAAATATTTTCTAAAAAAAAAAGTATTATAATATAATAAATCTGATTTAAACTTGAATACATCAACTGATGACAAATGATTTAATGTTTTAGCTGTGTGGGACTTTGACATAGAGACAAAGAACCCCGATATCTAAGACTGACCTCCTCCGGCAGTTTGTTGACGTTAGTGGACAGCTCTTTAATGGTCTGTTGGGTGGTGTCCTGCCAGATTGAGATGGCGTCCACTTTCTCCCGGAGGTTCTGTGACAGAACTGCAGTAGCCTGAAACACAAACAACTCGAATGTCAAAAACTAACTTATAATACATCTACAATTCTAAGGAGAATTTTGTCTACAGAGCTTTATAAAACAGTGGAAAAAAAGTACAGTGTGTATGATATCTGCAACTGAAAAATATGTTTAATGATCTGTTGTGAACAAGCATGGATATATGTAAGATTCGTGCTCATGCCCACTGATGATTTATTTATTGTGAACATACAAATTTCTGCAATTATAATCATATATCTAAAATACTAATGATAAACTCATACAATTTTGGTGCAGAAAAGCTTTGTGGATAATGCTGTATATAGATATAACAAATCTCTCCTATGCAATTTCTTCATTAAAAAGCTGATTCTAATTAAAACCTATGTGCAGTAAGCAATTTTCCCCTTTTTATTAAACTTTGTCAATTGTTTAACTAAAATGTAAATTTTACACACTGATTTGTCTGTCATATCAAATACATTAATGAATAGATCAAATTACCATTATTTCTATCACACTTTATGTTATTTTTGGGCATTACCTCCATTTGTTCTTTTTCCTTGCAGCATATAAAAATATTGTGTGAAATGTTAGTAAATAACATACATTATATATACAGCAGTGACAAAATGTCACACATCTAGGAATTTTTTTCTAATTGTTCTATAGTTTTTATACCTCTGGGGAAGTGGCTCTACTCTGTTTACAAAAAATATTGTACAGTAAGTCATTCTGTTTCATTATCTTTTGTAAATCATATAGTGATAATCATTAAAATGAAAAGTCGATAAAGAGGCACTGAACATATAAACATAGGGAAATAATTGGAACTTCATGAAATTGCAAATTTTGTACATATTTAAGGTAAAATATCTTGTTTATATACTTATTATTACTTTTACAAATCTGCCACCACTAACATTGGTATACATGTATGAATATCAGCTTCGACAAAATAAGAGTGATCTCCCTTGAAATATACATTACGTGTCAGAATTATTGTGCTCACAATTTTTTTTTTACTCCCTAGTGAACAAAATATGTATGATATACAAAACTCCTCTGTCATCCCAAACAAACTAAAGTAAACATATGTTATCCCTCTGTGCTTCAAATACAACTCACACTTTAAAATCCTCTGCAGCCTGGGTATAAATTGAAGTTCAACTAATGAAGGTATGATAAAATTTTCACAAATATACTCACTAGAGTTCGTTTATTTGAAGACTTGATACGAAACTACAAATGTTCAATTCTATATTTCTCTACAGTGCAGGAGGGCATATATTTTAAGAAAAAAGATTGAGGGCAAACATAAAGGATAAAAGAAACAGTCAAAAATTTTTATCACTAAGTTTCAGAATTTAAAATTTGAAATTATAAATTAAAAAAAAAAAGAAATGCATCATCTATTTCTATATCAAATCACTCCACTTTTACCTCTTTGTTTTCATGTTTTTTAATAATCTGTAGAAATTTGATTAAAGCCATTTAAAAGAAGATACAAAAAGCTTCCAAGTGGGGGGGGGCGCTAAACCAACAAAAAAGGTAAACCACAATTTTCAATGCCTAAAAAATATCTATCTTTGAAAAAAAAGGGGGTGAAGACCCCTACACCCCCCCTCCCCCCCCCCGGTTTCGACGCCTATGTAGAATATGAACATATGGATGGGTAGACGGATGAATAGTAAAAATCAAATAGGCAAAATAATTTTACTGATGCATCAAAGAGGTCTAAAATTTAAACAAGAAATTAAAATTGTGGCTCCCCCAGCTGCATTTCATTTCTGGTATTTTTCACTGAGACATATCGGGCGGCACATACATCGCACCTCGGAGGTTTGAATGGAGCCTAGCGGAGTCAGCCGAGGATTGCCGATTGGAAATTTTTCGATATTTCAACTTTTCATGGCCGACATGTTTTAGTTTTCATTTCTGACATTTTAAAATTTTCATTTCTGACTTTTTCAGATTGTACTTTTTGGTTATTAAAACAGGATTGAAGAATTCACTTATGAATATTTCAAAGGATAAATGTTTATATCCAGTATCGCATGACAGCAATCATCGAAACTTATGAATCACGTCTTAATCAATCAAATACATACTTCTGAAATTTATTTATCTTATTATTTATCAAAATAATTATCATACCCGCATTTTCTTAAGAAAGTTCGGATATATTATTGTTACTCATGTCTCTCCGTCCGTCTTTCTGTCACAGTTTTCTTCCTGTTACATTTTAGCAATAGCCTAATCATGTTTTAGGAGATGGTTGGTGGTGCTATGCAGATGTGCAGTAAGATAACTTTATTTCTATTTTGCCCAGGGGGTCAAATGGGGGGTCGAAAAATGACGTGTTTTATGAAAAAAAAAAAAAAACACCTGGTTCCTTAAACTTATCCTACATTTTACATACTAGTCTAACCATATTTTGGGAGATTATTGGTTGTGTAATGTAGATGTGCATTAAGGTTTCGGAATTGTCATTTTTTTTATGAAAAATATCCTAGGTCCCTGACACCCTTCATTTCAACAGTAGCCTTATTTCTTTTGTGAAATGGTTAGAGATGTCATGTAGATGTGCAGTAAGGGTTCGAAATTTTTTTTTACCCCGGGATCAAATAGGGGTTGAAAAATGACGGGTTTTTTTCTGAAAAAAAAACCTTGTTCCCTGAAATCCTCATACATTTTACACAGTACCCTGACATCTTCTGGGAGACGGTTCTGTAGATGAGCAGTAATGTTTTTGAATTTTCATTTTTGCCCGAGGGTTCAAATTGGGGTCGAAAAATTACTTTAAAAAAAGAAGTCCCCCTTGTTCCCTGAACGCCTCATACATTTTATATATAAGCCTAATCAATTAATTGGATATGGTTGGTGGTGTCTTTTTGCCCCAAAGGGTCAAATGGGGTTGAAAAAGGACATTTTATGAAACAAGCCCCTGGTTCTCTGAACTCCTCCTATTTTTTACTTACTAGTCTAATCATCGTTTGGGAGCTGGCTGATAATGTAATATAGATGTGAAGTAAGGTTTCGGAATTTGTATTTAATAAGGGCAGAAATATGACATTCTTATGCAAAAAGTCTCTAGTTTCCTGAACATTTTACATACTTGGCGAATCATCTTTTGAAAGAAATCTTATCGAATATTCGGTAAAACATAAAGGTCAAGGGTTAAAATATCATATAGTGCTGGGAAACATTTTGTCACAGATAAGGTACGAGGGGTTATCAATAAATTTGTGGACTAGCGCTATAAAATTCAAAACGCTTTAGGCACATCAATGAATTTTAAAAAAAATAGTTAGCATCATCTTTTCTGTCTAAAGAATAAAGCATAAATCATAAATTTTATTTAAAAAAAAATATGTAATGTTTTTGTAAGCAATGGTATGTCCAGGCGGCGCAACCTTGAACAAGACGTTTATGCGACCTATGTGTAACGGAGAAAAAAGTCCTTTGATATGAATATTTGACATCCAAAAATCCCTTTAATCCGGGTATGCGTCGAGACACAATTGTTCCATGAAATATGAAATAGCACTTCATTCTGGAATTTCTATGAAATTTTATCGTACATTTCACATGGAATGTCCAAACAAATTAGGCCTTGAAAATGACGTCAAAAGAAGGAGAGGTGTCTTTTTCAAACATTCTATCAAGATTTGCCACTGAAAAAAAACTGGTAAATATCTACGAAATATTTAAACTGGCTACAGAGAAATAATATGCATCTAGAATACTTGTCTTTTAATGTCAAAATAGATTCAGAGAGAAAAAAGGATACACAGTTAATGTCGATTTGTAGTCAAGATGTGAAAAATTGATCGCGTCAAAAATGAAGTTGATCATGTTTTGTAGATATTGAATGCTTCAAAGCAAAATATACTGATACAATCAAGCGAGGATCTCTCCAAATGTATTAATCCATTTGGAATATTGTATTCATTGAAAACCGCTTTTCATGACACTGAGAGTCATATAAAAAAAGGCGGGTTTAAGTACTTACTCAGCTCCAGAGAATCTCATTTAAAAAAGTGCATGAGGTAGAAGAAGAAGACATTGAAAAAATCAATGACGTTGTCGGACGTCATGAAAATAAACGACGACAGCGCCGGGTGATCATATAAGGTCGTTTTTATTTTATAATAATTTTGCAAATAATGAACCTATCAAGCTAAAATTTTCAATATTTCTTTATTTTTTGTTGTTTCATGTCCCATATAAATTTTGAAAGCACAGACTACATAAAATTCGTTTTATAGCCCCAGTCCACGAACTTTTTGATAACCCCTCGTACATGTCAAATGTGAAAGTTTAATCTCTTCTAATTCGAAAGATATAAAAATAGATATCAAAGTTTTGAAAAGTAGGTATATAACTTCAAGGTGAGAGAGTCAAAAGTCATGATATATTTGGAGAAGTCTCATCACAGGTAATATACATACACGTATAATATGAATGCCCTATCTTTTCTTTGTTATAATTTTCAATTTAAAAACAATTAATTTTTTGGAAAGAAATTCAAATTTTGGGGTCAGGGAAAAAAATCATAGCGTAATTTCGATTAGGGTAGAATGGTAATGTAACAGGTAAATACTGATACACATGTTTGATATAGAAGTTTTATTTCTTCTTATTCAAAAATTATGATCATGATGACGAAGGTTAAATTTATTGTGACAGACGGACAGACTGACAGAAAAATGATATTTAATGCCCCCTACCTTTGGCAAAAAAGGGGACAATAAATGTTCTTGCTGTCCTTGTAAAGAAGATTTATGATGGAAAAGATCCCCTTCATATTCATATTTATTCATATTTCTATGTGAATTGGTTAAAATTGACCCAGTGGTTATAGAGAAGAGATAAAAAAAATGTAAAATGTTTGCAGATAACAGATGGACGACAAAATGTGATTAGGAAACCAGAAAAAAACTCAAATGTGCTTAAAGACGTACAACACACTTTGGGAGATAATTCTTGCGATTTCAATTGAACATTTGACGTGACGTCAAGTTTAACGTCAAAAATAAAGCGTCAAAACGACGAGTAAAACGATCCCGATGTATATCAATCATGAACGAAAATTGGGATATGGGGCTTGGCTGTGATTGTGCGTACCATACTCAATCAATAAGTTTTTTTTTTTAATTAACTCGATTAAACTCCGTAAAAAGCAAGACATAAAATAATACCATCCCTTAATGTTTATTTCATTTCATTTCATATACAATAAATTGTATTTTTGATCAAAGCGCAGCATTTTTTTTTTATTCTGAAATTTTTTTTTTACATTGCCAAAATTCTCATTATGTTTAATTGGCTAATAACATTCCGATTAATGATCTTCATTGCAATTTAATTTGTGCATACACGATATAAATATTGTTTTTCTTCTTTAATTGAATAAAACAACAATAAATAAACAATAAACTCTTACAATGTAAAATTGATGTTGTTCTTAGACCCTTACTGATCAAAGAGGAACAACTCTGCAAATGTAGGAGATGTTTATTTTCCTCCCTTTATTCACGGTTTTCCACAGAATCAGATACATTTACAGCAAGACCTGATTAATCCGAGAATTGAATACTATAGACCTCATATACACAATGCAAGTATAGAATTGAAAAGAATTGTTCACTCGCACTGAAATTATCTGTATTTATGAATATCCTATTGCAGCAAATCGTATTTTTGACTTTCTGTCAACAATGTCGGTTCGCATTTCCTCGAATCAAAACAAAACGTAGCCTATAAGATTTAAAAAAAATCAACGTGGGATTTGATATA